TACCATATAGTCTAACATGGACAATTCCATATTTTAGACCCTCCATGGCATCACAGTTGCTAGCGGCACACCCTCGAGCCCCCACTTGATTCTCCACTCCCAGCTGGCATAACTACCCTTGGTTATGCCCTTCGATTCCTATGGTTTGGTTCTATCCCCTTACTACTTGTTTTTGGCTTCACACCTTTCCTTTGGTCATTCTCCTCCAGACCAGGAGGATAGCTTTGCACTTTCTATCATGCCTTAGCAAGTATTCTTAGGGATGAACCTACCCGATAGCCTAGGGAGTGGTTCCTCAATCCAGGTATGCTCACCCTATAATCCCACACACTGAGATTACGTTGTTGCTTATGGGCCTTTACATGCCCATCGCTAGCCTTGCCAAAATTCCATTTTTGGCTTTGTCCAATTCGAGTAGACAGTCTTCTCCTATCTCCGCCACCTTGGACATTTGGATAGCACCTTGTATCCATCATTTGCTAGAGACTTAGTCCCTTAGGCCTTATCTATTGCCCTTGCAACATCAAACACCACCTCCTGGTGTTCTAGAGTGTTTGGGTGTCCCAACGATGGTTTCCTTGACAATGAGTATTTTCTTTTATGACATTGACTTACTATATCGCAACATAAGCAACTTATCCCCCGTAAGGGTATATCTAACTTCCCTATGCCATTAAGAAGGCTTGGGTAGCTACCTTCTACCCGTTTAACCAATTATTTTGCACCTCTTGCTTAGTTGCCTCATAGTTGTCAAGTCCTACAACTCATTGTTGGTGCTTCCACACCTCCATCATTATCTCGGTCACCACACTCCAACTGCATGCTCTGCAACTTAGGCTATGCCATTCCTATTTCCATTAGGATTCCTTTGGCAAGGGGTTCTCATGAACCCACCAACATAGCCTCAAGGTATCACACGTTGGCACATTTGGTGTCTCCACACCATCGGCTCCACGAGCCTACCTTTATGACACTTTTTCTTTGTGTCTAAGTCTTTGCCAAGACCAATACCGCTCTTTCTCATGCCAACCATCTGTTAGCACGGCACCATAGAGGTTACACACAGCTTTGTGTCAAAGTTGTTTTCTTTTTGGGAACACCTTTCCCATGACTTTAGCACGGCACATTTTGCCATCGATGAGATACCCTCTGTTCTCATCCTTCAATCCTATGATCCCCCCCCCCCCATCCTTCGTGGGGTGCAACACACCTCAGTCCAAATGCTCCTATCAGTCCTTTTTAGGACTATTCCTTGACTCTACTTGAGTCATCCAGCAGTTTTGGACTTGGTTAATCCACATATCCGTAAGGTCCTACTTGTGAGGCACTAGCTCACTGGAATACACTTTTTGCATTCCTGTCCTACTCAAAAGGACTATTTTCACAAGTGTTACTCTGACACTTGATTTTGTTCTCTTAGGGCAACCTTTTGCCTCTTAGGACCACTTGTCCATGTGATGAGGATACCAACTCATCCTCTAAGTACATCCCCAACTCCTTGGGTTGTTCCAGCATTTATCAAGGGTAACCTCAGCTACCATTTCGAGGACTTGTGTCCTCTCCTATATTTGACCTCCCATGGTCATCAATTCCGGTCTCAAAGTTATGAGCACCGGCCTCAACTATATGAGGGTAATCTTGTGACTCCTTTATTATTTTGGAGTCTACATCTTTCCCGTGATCCCAATTATAGTTGTTTACCACAACTACGTTAGCCCGTTTGCTGCGTCAAACGCTCATCTGGATCACATCCTCAGCTCTCTGAGGAAACCTTATATTGTTCCCAAGATCCCAAAGTTGTTCTATTATTGGCCCTTTTCTATCCACCACATCGTGCCCAAGTTCACGCATGAACTTGAGTGGAGAGCCATGTCCTCTCGACATGCTACTCCTCAAGGATAGGCCCACTCCTAGGACCATCCGATGCCAACATCAATGGTGATATACTTGAGCACCAATAAAAGTCGAACTAAGGAACAGCTCTGATACCAAGTTGTAAGCGACTAAATTTTCCATTCTACTTTAGTCACTTAACCACACCTCTGACCACTTGGAGGAGTCTCATTCACAACCTCCATCAGTCCAATTCAGGACTTGGGACTTGCTAGCCTCAAGAATGGCATCCATGCCACTCAACACTTGCACCTGGTCCAAGTGCTCCTCGTGTCCGGTCCCAAGACCGACACCCAAAGGTACCACTGACATCTCGGCCCGTTACACTAAGGCCATGCCCATTCACCTTTGCTGCGCTAGTGGTCCAATACCACTTGCATCACAATCCCGTCTCTCCAAGACTGGGCCATCTGTCCACGAGTGGTCATCCTAGATCCACTCCTTAGCATCCTTAGGATGCCTACAGACCTGGGGAATTGCCTTCCCCAAAGTCCCTTTGTCAGTTCCTACCAAGTCCCTTTCTGCCCTTGGCCGTGTTTACCAACACTGCCACTGGATCGAGGCCCACAGGCCCGACCCCTAAGTCCCATGGTCCTCTGGGACTTCCTCACCACACGACTGTGTCCTTGGTCACTACCCCAGAGGACTGCTCCTCTTCCTTTCCACAGTCTAGGCCTTTGGGACAACATTTCGGAACACCGTGGCCTTACGCGAGCCACCTAGGTACTCTCCCCGCCTTTCACCTTTAGGTGCTCTAGCCATGGGCTTAGAGCGAGGTTCCATTGAGCCACGCCTGGTATCCAAGTAGGTAGTGCCACCCACACTTGGACTGGGAGCATCGGCCAGTCGATCTCCCAGGGGAACTAGAGCCGGCTCTTGAACACTTCACCAAGCTACCCCGCTTGTCGGTCTGTATTCACTCTAGTCTTGGACTTCCCAGTGGTCAGTTCATCACCCAACATTGGGTCTGGCCTTCCTGGGCCAAACTGGCCTTTCCTGGCCAAACTGGCTCCACTGCAGTCCTCCCCCTCACTATACTTTTGGAGCTCACCAAACCCCCCAGGGTCTGGGAGACAAACGCTTTGGGCTTTCACCCTCTCAGACTCGAACTCGGACTCGGACTCAAACTCGGACTCGGACTCGGACTCGGACTCGAACTCGGGCTCGGGCTTGGTCTCAGCCTTGGCCTCGGTCCCGGTCTCGGTCCCGGTCTCGGTCTCAGTCCTAGTCTCGGTCTCGACCTCGGACTCCATCTCGGGTCCTTCTCGGACTCCATCTCGAACTCCATCTCGAACTCCATCTCGGGCTCCGTCTCAGTCCATCTCGGACTCCATCTCGGGTCCATCTCGGGCTCCGACTTGGTCCACCTCGGACTCCACTTCGGTCCACCTCGGACTCCATATCGGACTCCATCTCGGACTCCACTTCGGACTCCATATTGGACTCCACTTCGGGTCCATCTCGGACCCTAACTAGGGTCCGTCTTGGACTCCACCTCGGACACTTCCACGTGTCATGTGTTGGTCCTTTTTGGGTCCCTTTTTGGAGCCTTGCTTATTGCTTGCTTCGTGCTCGCTCCTTGAGCACTTTGTTGGGAGTTCCACTCCCGCTCTCGACCTTCTAAGTTAGAGCTTTTAGTCCAAACGTGTTACACTCGTTTGGGCTTTCGCTTCGGCCACTACCATGTGGCACCCTTTCCGGCTCCACTTTGGGGCCTAGGGATTTTGTGTCTCACACCCGGGAGTTGCAATAGAAGATCAAGGTGGTCAATGACATGGGCATGGCTGCAAACACATCAAGATGCCCTTCTTGGGAACTTTCTGCAACTATAGACGTCCATGCCATTACATTCCCTCAGGACTTTTGACACAGATATACTCTGTTTGCGATGTTTCCATGGAGGATGATGTTCCAGATTCTAATCAAAGCCATTATCAAACATCGCTTTTAGCTATGGCTCGCCCATTAACTTGATCCAGCCGTTGGCAGCCATCAAATCAAGTCAGGTTTTCCACAAGATTGTGGCTGACAACTGCCAGGTTCTCCAGAACCCAGCTGCCACCTGCCAGGTTCTGGAGAACCCTCTCATCCTCAAATAACATTATGCCAAGTGTCCGTTAAGGTCTCACCACAACCTGTTAAAGGCCATTCCTGGGCACAAGCTCCCTCCAGGACGCACTCACCGGGCTATATAATGCCCGGCTCGCCCGTTCTGAGCAGGGCTTGACCAAACTGAACACCGTTATCACCAGCACGTTACACCGAGAAGCAAAGATGACAAGCTCATTATCCAAGTAGGCCTAAAGCATCGCTGTCCACGAAACGAAGTTCTTCTCGCTCAATCTCCTTGAACATTTTCCTCGCAAGAGGCAAGATCACCCACTTGGGCGACAACGCCGCGATCTGGAACAATCGCTCGGCCTCGCCCAAATCGCCATCCTGGATGCACGAAACTAGGCTCCTCTTGGGCATCTTGTGGCACCCTGCCCGTGCTGCACAAATCCCGAAGCCAAAATCGTCCAGGACACCACATTCCTAGCGCTCATCCGATCAAAGCACTCCTTGGAGCGCTCCACTTGGCCGTTGCGATGGAGCAAAGCATGCCAGAAACTGATCGATGGCCTTGCATTGTGATACACGGAGCCACCGTCATCTTCACTGCCATAGTCCCACGACAGCAATTGGATACGCCTCCTCACGCACTCGAGGTACTCCTCGTCGGTCATCCACACCAGACATCGCGAGTGTTACACCATACTTGGGCCACGATGGTCGTCACGTCGCAAGAGAAATCTCTCGGAACTTTAGTGCTCAGTGGCAAGGTTCCGCTGGATGGCCGGTGGAGATCCCAACCCTCCCATGCACATTACTATTGCAACGACGAGATTGGAGACTCTCTGGAGAGGCATGGTTTTGCGGAGAAAGAAAGAGAATCCGGGTCCGCAAGCAAAAACTCGATGCCGGCTTCGGAGGCAAAAACACACAAAGGCCAGGGGGGCCGGCGGTAGATTCGGTGGATTCGGTGGACGCGGTGGCTGTACGGAAGATGCACGCCTGTTCTTCGTTCTCGTTTGTTCTTTTTATAGGGGATTTGGAAGGCGCGGTCGTGGCGATCGATCCTCATAGTTGACATGTTTGATCGACTTGATGCTACTCCATTCCTGAGATTTTCGGCGATCATTAATGCTGCCCACCCATCTTTGTTGGTGGCAAGCAGTAGTCCAGAAGTTATAGAGAAACACCCCGGAGAAATCCTCCACTAGCAAACCGATAGTTTGCGATTTTGTTATCTCACGAGCCTAGAGCACGACTTGGAGGCCCTTTGGATGATCCTCGAGAGCTTCGAGCTTGCCGCTGCCAGCGCCGCCATTCTTGCCACGAGGAGAGAGACCCAGAGGACAGAAAACGGGGCTGCGAGCGACGGTGCTTCCGGCCCAAAGGAACCTCTTGGAGTATGGATTGAGCAGACTCTCGCAAAAGGAGGTGGAGCTCTCGGCCACTAGTCCCTGTAGAAAGATTTAGAAACCAGTATGGGGAGAGAGAGAAAGAGAGAGAGAAAGCTCACGTACCTCTGCCATTGCCTTGATTTTCAAGGCTGTGTCGCTCGTCAGCAGCACCACTCTTCCGTCCACAACGCTTCTCTCGAAGAGCAGCGCACAGTCTAGGACGTGGTCGTCGTTCGTAGGAGAGAGTAAATCCACGGCATATGGGAGGAAGTTCTTGGCCACGGATGGAGAGACCGGAGGAGTCATGCCCATTGGTTTCATCTCGTTGCTTTTCTGCACGTGTATCCACCATGGCTTTTTCACCATGCACTCCTCTATCCAGCGCAATGACCTCCGGCACTGATATTTCTTGTCCTCGCTTCTTTTGAGGAAGTCAAGCTCCCGGATGACTGCCAAGAGGTGAAGATAAGAAAAAGGCGAAGGAAAGGAAACATGAAAGAACGCTCACTCACCTATCTTCGGTATGATGACTCGTGTCTCTCGCAAACCTTCCAGTTTCTTGAGAGAATTGAAGCCATCTTCGTCCAGGAAACAGTTCGTATCCACAATGATATGCCATTTAACCTCGTCAGCCTTCTTCTCTGTTACCTGGAGAACGAGGCAGACATTAAACTTGCAGATATAGAGCTCGTGGAAAGAGGCCTTACCCGGTGCCGACGAGCGCAGTACTCTTTGAAACTGTCTTCATCGGAGCTCGTTGAGTAAGGCGCTGGCTGGAAAACGGGCTTGTAGTCGCGTTGAACACTCGGTGACGGAAGAAAAAAGAGCTCCCCGAATGGTTTCCTCGACACCACGGACTTGGATGCATCCACCTCAGGCTTTGCAACTAGAGCAGGAGTCATGTTTTCCTTGTCTGATACGTAACCGTCTTCAGGGGTTGCAGAAGCCTGTGTGTTTGTGACAAGGCTTGGCAGCTCGAGGTTGACACCACGCCTAAGCCAGAGAGTCGAAGGAGACTGTTCCGGCTTCTGGACTCCGAAGATCTTCTTTCCAGCCGGAGACATTCGCAGAGCTGTGAACTTCGCTGACAGAGGCGAAGCCGCTCCCTTGTTTCCACGTGCTGGAGACTTTGGCCTGGCGGGTGGCGAGCCCGTTCTTCCATTGATGTCCGAAAAGGCAAGCCTTTCTGGCTGCTTCTTTGCTCCGCGATCCGCATTTTCCTGAAAAAAATACACAAGAGCTTCTTGCATGATGCAAATGAAAAACCAAAGCTGACCTGTTTACGTGAGTTACTGCTTTCCAGCCGCAAGATGCTCTGGAACTCCTCGTCCAGACCCTTGGCGACGCTGGAAGCTGTCGACTTTGCAGGAGTACACGAAGAGGAGGAAGAATCGGACTGTTCCTGAGCCACGGGAATCCACTTGACCATATACGTTCGCGTCGATGCTCCGACCTCAAACTTCCCATCTTCCTCCATTATGACCGGGTCGAGAGGGATGAGAGGCTCCCCATTGAGTCGTGTCCCATGAACTGTGAGATTTTCAATCGGCCTTGTATTCAGATTATAGAAAGCTTACCTGAGTGCATGTCCTTTAGGACGAGCTGCCGAGTTTCAGGAATGATCCGGATTTCCAGGTGATGCCGGCTGATGCTCGCATGCCCCGCGACCACGTCACAGTTTTGGTGCCGTCCAAGAACAAAGGAATCCTTGCCGTGGAGCAGCACGTTATCAACAACAGAGCCATCCTTGAGCACCACAAGCTGTGGCACGAAGTGCATCATGATATACTGCAGAGAACAAGCTTTAGATTTCTAGCAAGACTCTCTAAAATTGAAGTAACAAAACTCACAGATGATGGAATCCACAGCTGCTGCCTTGAGACCGCTCCTGGAGGCGCTGGAACACGATCAATGACAATCTAAAATGCAGCTCGCAGGACTTACAGAGGAGCCGCGAGCGCGATCGATCGATTCTCCTGGCGCCAGCGACAAGAGCGCTGGAACACGATCCTGCCAGGAAATCTGATCAATGACAATCTAAAATGCAGCTCGCAGGACGCTTACAGAGGAAGAGCCGCGAGCTCAATCGATCGATACTCCTGGCCCCGGCGACAAAACCCTGGCTCAGAGCTTCTGGAGGCGTTGGAACACGATCCTGCCAAGAAATCTGATCAACGACAATCTAAGCTCCCAGGACGCTTACACAGCGAGCTCAATCGATGGCCCCGGCGACAAAACCCTGGCCAGGGCTTCTGGAGGCGCTGGAACACGATCCTGCCAAGAAATCTGATCAAAGACAATCCAAAATGCAGCTCGCAGGACGCTTACAGAGGCGCCGCAAGGCGAACGGCCTGTTCTTGACTAGGACCCGCGAGCTCGACGATCGATCCTCCTGGCGCCGGCGACAAAACCCTGGCTCAGCGCTTCTGGAGGCGGGATCCTGCCAAGAAATCTGATCAATGACAATCCAAAGTGCAGCTCGCAGGACGCTTACAGTGGCGCCGCGAGGCGGATGGGCCGTTCTTGGCTAGGATTTGGAGGCGCCGCGAGCTCGATCGAGCGATCCTTCTGGCGCCGGCAAAACCCCAAGGGCTTTTCAATCGAGAAGTGACCGTTTGCAAACGGTGGGTTCGATCCTCGTTCGATTCCAATAACGCACATTTAGGGCAATTTCCCGCCCTTCTTTTATGAGATGCGTGATCGCTGATACCATGGCGGCATGCAGTGTAGATCTTGGGGATGTCCATCTGGTGCAAACGCTTGGGATACCTGCTGTTGGTACCTCCGAGGAATTCATGTTCTTCCTTCATCGAAGCGAGGAGTTTGTCTCCAAAAACTGGATTTTCCGAGGTGACTCGCTTCCCTCTTTGCTTGATGCTGCGATCTAAGCTACGCCCTTTGTGTGAAGCGGCCGATTTCATGGAGCAGCCAGGCCTCTCGCAAGAAAAGTACGAGCTGCTGCGGGAATGCTGCATGGTCAAGCCCGTGTTTGCGACTGACCGTGGTCATCGCTTATCTCGCGTCAGCATTGCATTAGAAAGATCATCCGGCACAAGGATATAGTGAACGACATCATCGCCGGACGGATTGGTTTCCAGTGAGGCCTAAAGTTTTTCCTTTCGTCTCGCTTCACCTTTTCTTTGAATGCTTCGTTCACCAGCTTCGCTCGAGACCCCGAAGCTTAGGACCTTCTCATCCGTGCTGCCAGCGACGGAAGGTAGATCATCTGCTTCGATGATAACAAGTGCCATGTTGCAGGTCACGGATTAATCCAAGCATATACTTGCGACTGCTCGTGTTCCTCACAAATATATAATGCACGGCATGTACAAGTTTGCACTGCTTGATCACCACTTCTTATACATTGCATTGCAGATCCAAAGTCGGCAGCGCTAGTGCCTATAGTGAGGGCATTAAAATTCTCGACTTGTTTTCAGGTATGTAGCCTTTTACTTTCTTCCATTCACCGCAAACCACGTTTTCACTCACACTTGATCGCAGGGCCTCAAAGAATGTAACGGCGTGGACATGTCGTTGACAAGTTTGCTGTCCATCTTAATGCGTAGATTTTACGAACTTCGTGTTTGTAGAGCGCATCCTAGCACTTTGCCAATCCGCTCGCTATGGACAAGCAGCGGCTCGGGGCACTGGGTGACTGCCGCAGTTCTTTCGGCCTGGAGCGCAACGTTTGGACCGAACGCATGCTCTGGTCGATGGGCGACCTGCGGTGCACAGATTTCGTCATGAGTTACCTCAGCAAGAGCAATGAGATGGTGGACAGACGTCCCTCTAAATGGCCAGCCCTTTACGGAGCTGTTTCCAGGTCTGTTTTCTCGCGTCGACGTCGTGCTTGACATGGATCTTGTAGATGCAACATTCTACCAGAGTTTCAAGAACAGGAAAGGTTTGGAGAGAGATCGTTTGTTTTAGGTACTGACAAAGAAGCTCGTCAGTGAGGGTGTACGAGGACGAGGACTTACCTCCGGGCTCGGAGCAATGCAGAATGGTTTACGAGAAGGCTCCGAGGTCGCCCTGTTTTTGCACCCGATGACGATGACGGGGAGGAGCTAACACGGGAGTGGGCTGTTGAGACCATCTCTGTTGTGGGGCAAGCTTGTCTTTCTAGAACAGAAACTGAGCGACGTTGTAGGTAAGTCGTATGCCTTCAATACAAATAGCATTTGACTTAAAATGGAACCTCGATCATGGACGCGTAGAACGCGTTGACGCTGGCGGCAGCGGTGAGTCTCAGCCCTTCGTGGATGATTTTCCCGGTCGCAATGGGTGAGATGCTCGTGCACGTGTGGAAGGCGCCAGCGAATGCGACGTGATCGGTCTCAGATCCATCGTAGCACTGCATGCAGACTGGGCACATGCTGTCAAGCGAGAAGATCCCTGTCCAAGATGGCCCTGGTTGGAACTAAGTGGCCACACTTGCAGTACGTATTGACCAGCGCAGCCTCCACTGTGGATTCTCGCTCCACGCCCGCAATCACACACAAGGATGCCCTGATCGAGGTCGCCAATTCCAGCGACCATGCTTGGGATATATTGCTTGTAATTGACTTTGGAGCTTTACCTTGAGATGTCACTGGATGGAGTTTTACCTGCTTTTGTGATTTTGCTATAGCCACGGAGGGATTATCCGTGATGGATGTTACCACTTTGCGTCGATCAAGCACGTGAAAGAACATTACATGTGTATGCTCGATCTCTTGTCTCGCTCGGGGCAGCTCCAAGAGGTGGAAGAGTTCTTTCTAGGCAGCGACATTGAGGTGGTGAGATCTTCATTTCTGATGGATACGAAGAACACGGCCTCGTGCTGGACAGCTTTGCTGAGTGCTTCCAAAGTTTAAACCCCAGAAGCAACATGGCTTGCAAATCTATCCAGTAGCACTGCATTGTGCCCAGCTCTCTTTCCTCGCTTGGAATCCTATATGCTACTCTCGGATATATATACTGTTAGAAATTGATTGATCAAAGTTTTTCTGAGTTCCCTGATCGCCTTGGAAGCCATCAAGTTTCTCCACCATGGACACGACAAATGCATCCTCGCTCTCAAAAAAGAGGCTGCTGTCCAATCTAACACAGTTCGGAAGCTCTTCTACGAGTGTATGAGTCACTGGCTCTATGCCATGGAGGCAGGTTCAGTTCCTAGGCAGTTAGTGTGTACCTAGGGTTGATCACATCAAGATGAGTAATCAGAGCCATGAATGGTACACTGTGCTTCCTGCAATCTCCGGCACCATATCAATCGCTGGTGATTGTTGCGTGTTTGCAGTCACATTGCGAGTAGCAGCAGTGGTGCCGTTGTGTACAAGGGTGGGCAGCACTGTTGAAGGTCATGTTTATGTGAGCTATTGTTGCAGGCACTGAGACAGAACCTGCTGCCGGATCAGCTGAACTTCCTGATTGGAAAATTCAAAACAAGCGAGCCAGAGTTGTCCATAATCGGGATTGATCTTGGTGAGTAGTATATTCATTTTCTTGATTCTGCCAAGACTTCCAGTGAAGGCAAACATCATTGCTATCCTTTTCCAAAGTTTGCAGACCAGTTTACTTCTCAACTTTAGCACAAAAATCCTTAAAGTGCTGGAAAACTTTGCTCTTTGTGCTTCATGAGATAAACATCAACCTTGCACGAAAAGTGACAAAATAGTGCTCATCTGCATGCTTTGGAAAAGGATAGTGATGATGCTTGCCTTCACTAGAACTCTTGGCACAATGAATAAGATGAATATATTGCTCACCAAGATCCCAATTGTGGATAAGGCTTGCTTGTTTTGAATTTTCCAATCTAGCAGCACTCGGTGCCTGTAACAATAACATCACAATTGTCTCGCATAAACATGAAATTCACATGTGTGGAATTCTCCTTTGTAGACACAGATAAGACTCTTGCTCCACAATGGTGCCACTGTTGCTGCTCGCCATGACTGCGAACATGCAACAATCTCTAGTGATTGATAGCTGGAGATCGCAAGCATGGTGTACCATTCACAAGTCTGATACCATGAGACTTACTCTTCTGTCCCAGATGGAGAGGCATAAAGGCATGTGCTTGAAGACATATTTCCTCCAATCGCCATCATCCTGGGGTGGAATAGGTGGGGGAGGCAGATTTATAAGTGGTGGTGGTGGGAGCGCTGGAACATCTGCTACTGCCCAGACATCAACCAGCCATGTTGTATAGCAGGGAGCTCAAAGTGATACTTCTGGATGCACTATTATTGGACATTCCCATTCTGGTCGTCCACTTTTTCAGCTTGTGCACAGGCCGCTTAGGAAAATCAGCAGCTTCATCAACTGACTGTGGCTCAGAAATAGTTTCAGCATTAGCAAAATAAAACCGAGCAGAATTAGACCTGAATAATTATCAGGTCCACATGCTTCTTCTTGGAATGGACTCTGAGTCTATGGATTTTGGTTTCCAAGCCAGCAGATCGGAAAATTGTGAGTACGAAGTGGCTCTTTCAATGCTAACAGTCAATTTAAAGCCCACTTTGGTGAAGTCAAGCCCTACAAACTGGTGCAGTCCGTGGCATGTCGGTAAGTGTCAGTGAAGGCAAGCCCTACAAACTATGTATGCTTTTGATCCTTGCTTTCAATCCTTATAATCTCACAAAACACTCGTCACCACATTCATACGTAGCAGAATCTGGCAGGTGGTTGGCAAAACCTTCCACTACCAACACTCTTTGTTTTCATTATTGAGGGTTGTTCACTTCCAAGAGCTCTCATTCCCACACTTTAATCTTTCTAAGGAATTTCTAGCACGAATCAAAAGTTACAGATGTTCATTGACAAATTACAAAAATAGCACCTAAAATAACTTCATAGTCATTGAGCTCTGGAGAAATGCCAAAGTGTTGATCAATTCCAGAAGCAAAGGCATTAGCTAGTGATGCATTAGCCATAGAAGCCCTCACTTTGTCAAGCACAAGAACCTACTCTCTTGGTGGCCACCACTTCACAACTTGCCTCACCTTTTGCCTCCTCCAGGGACCCCACAACACTGCAGCCCATAAATGATGGTAAGCATAAATTGGTAATTAAATGAAATTCTATAGACAATTTTGATTGTTGAAAGTGTGAATTCAATGCTAAATGCAAGATAGCTCCTTAAGGACATGTGATCATTTGTCTTTGAAATTATTTAAGTTATAAACAATTAAATAGAATGACTTGAAAGATGATCTATGGGATTTAAATATAGAGGGAAAAAGTTTATAAATAAGAGTGAGTTTGAATATAAAGGGAAAGGCTCATAAATAAGAATGCATTCTTTTTTTCAATCAATTAAAGTGTCTTGGGATACAAAGTTAAATGTTTTTGGGCTTGAATAATACTAAGTTGGATAGACCTCTTGATAAGTCTAAAATGCAGAAATTTGCATGTGAAGATTGTAATACTTGGTTGTTCTCTTATTGAGGAGCCCACTTCTGTGACCTCTAGCTCTATTAGCCTTGAAAGCCTCCTAGATATGCACAAAGCAATGGCCATTCATAAACATTACCTTGCCATTCATGACTTCCAACCCTGTAAGGGCCTTGAAAACAGTATGTGAAATGAAGAGAGTCTGTAAGCAGCCATAGTCATGCAAACACCTATGAACATAAACGGGTAGATCTGCAGTGGAGGAAGTGAGCACCTCTCATTTGCAAGTGCACCCTAAACACGTGTTAAATTCCTGTCTTATGGGCTGTGTAGCAGACAATACAACCTACAATTGCTGCTTTCAAGTCTTGCTTGGACTTGGTAGCTTGAGAAGAAGGCGAGGAGCTGAATGGGAAGGTCATCAAAGTTTCAAATCAGGTTTGTAAGCTATAGCTTGAGGAATGTCTTGGTTAATAGTACATATTGCAAGTGTGGAACCATCTTGCAAAACTCCTATCAGGATAAGATATTACAGTGCTGTCTTGTGGACTCCCTTGCTGATGGGATACTCAAGAGAACCACAAGGAAGAAGCTTGGCATCTGCAAACACAAATGGACATATGTCAAATATTTGAATTATCGCATGCAGCCAACTTTCCATTGTCCACAATACAAATTGGACCTAGGGCTTGCAATCAGACAGCCACAAGCTTCTGGCCTTTATCACTTTAGTATTATTGCAATCAGACAGCTGCAAGCTTTCGGCCTTTTATCACTTTACTATTATGAATATAAAAATTTGTGATTTTATATAATTATGTTTGCTCTTGTTAAATTGATAACATGAATATATAAATAAGAATAAATATTTATTAATTATTATTTGGAAATATGAATATATTTATAAAAATACAATATTAGAAATTCTATTTTTACTTTTTTCTCTAAATTATGTCTTACAGGGATAAATTTATATTAATAAAAGTTATAGATACACATACGTACAAGTGACTAAAAATAATTATTACTTATTTATTTATACCCAGAAAGAATATCTTTTATAAATATATATGATATAGACTGTAAATTCAAATCTTATATTCCATAGTATAAACTAATATTAGCTAGAAATTTTTTTAAAAAATATTACTGTTTAATCAAATACTGTATACATTATCTTGATTTTTTGTTGGTAGTAGTGAATATGCCTAGAATATGCTTGTATATTCTAGGATATTCTACCATCTACCTGTCATAATTTATAAAATTTCCTAAACACTTTCTAGTATGATTCTAGTACCATCTAATGATTGATATTCAATAAGATTAATGTTTTTTTATAAATTATATACATATTTATAATTATATACTTCCATTTGATCAATTAAATTATTAAATAAGAATAACACTACTATTAAGAAACTCAAGCATTGTTGTATGCTATATGGAGCAAATAATTTTGGTAAGGAGTTAAATTGTAAAACAATAAGGCTACCTATAAAATATAATATATATACTCTTATTTTTAAAGTTGTTTAATTTGTTTTTATTCACAATTAAAGCTTTAATCATGCCTACACACTCATAAAACTATAGCAAAGTCAGATTTAGTCAATTAAGTGGTAATATTCTTGATATACCATCGCTTGGTGTTGGCTTCATATGTTCCAATGATATCTAAATAGGCCATCTGTATAGAATATTTTCTTATTATATTTTTAAATACTATTAAAATAAATTTATAACATTAAATTTTGATAAAAAAATATTTAAAGAGTATATTGCTATATAAAACGAAACATTTTATTGCTGGGCTGCTCACTCTAGGTATTGCAAGCACAAATTGCTTGTTATAGCTACATATAAAGTATGTTTTTACTTGGATATATATAAACTTAAAATATTAATATTTCAAGAAAACTAATATATTACAACCCAGAAACAAAATGAAAAGCATAATTACTATAAATAATTACTAATAATTTATATATTAGAAAAGTATTACTTAATAATTTAGATATAAGGATAAAAGAATTAAATTTCAAATTTTATATAATAAACTATATTTGTAGTTAGGCAGAGACTTTTAGGCATCATTCATATGCAGCCAAGATATAAAAGTTCTAGAAGATATTGTTTTATTGCTTTAGATCTTGGAAATGCCTAAACCCTTCATATCTTACCTAATGCATAATTTAACAGTTAAAAGAGTTTAGCTTTGTGGTTGACAGGAACGGCGTCATTGCCAACCAAACTTAGACAAGGGGAATGGGTGACTTGTTAGACAAGTTGCATGGTTTCAACATGCTATTAGTGGCAAAGTACCTCGAATTGGTGTGTGCCATACCTCAATTCAGCCATATGCATCCATAATACACTTAAATTGGACTTATACATTTTGTGCATTCTTTTTCAATAACAAGTTCTCCACTTTTGTATCCTGAGTCAATTCCTTGACCCACCAGTTCTGAAGGAACCTTCTTGCTTTTATGGAAACTATCATTTATGTATTCCAAATCTTGAATAAATCTTCTATTCACATATCCAAATGGGTGGAGTTCTATGCTACCTATTTCCCCCCTACAATGTACCTGTAACCATTTTGACTTTGGAGCAATAAGCCACTGACACCTACCTGCATTCAGCAACTCCCTTACCTTGTGTGGTACAAATTCGTAGGTTTGTAATAAGGAGATTGCTAACTAAATTCGCTGCCTGCTTAACCTGGCCTCCTTGGTTGACTTACCCGTTGGGAATAGTTGACCGGGGTGTCTGTTTGACTCTTGACCTAGCACGAAGACTCTGCTTCTGCTTCTAACCCCACTCTGTACTTGTTCCAACAGTTTCAAGCCGAGCAACTCAAGACCCAAATGCGCCACAATGGGTACTCAAAACTAGGCCACAACTATGGCTCTCACTCCCCATACCCCATTCCCTGCTTTCATCATTGCTTCAACAAGTTTCATTCTTGAAGCATTTGGAGATGCCACGAGATGCTTATTGTATTGAGTTGATTAAAGAAAGGAAATATTATTTCTCCAGACAAAAAACTACTAAAGGAAAGTGATCTACGAAGTGAATGCAAGGGAAAATAATATATATAAAATATGGGTACGCTAAAAGATCTCTCACTCATACAAGGAGGACTTCACATCCTTCACATGGCTGATAAGACTTCCAGATCAATGGTCTACCCTCGTGACCTTCTACATTCACCCTCACCTGCTTTCCAACTAGAGTACCATCTAGATGTGCCAACTTCAAGGTCACTTGGGTCTCCTCCATTAGAGCAGTGTACACGATCTCAGATTCAAACCCGGATGCAATTCCACCTGTGATTATTCAATGTTGATCAGAGATTATAAATGAAACACATTTTTTTATCTTACCCCCATGGAAGCCAAGCTTTATGTCCCAATTATCCATCGCTGCATATCCATTGTCTTCAACAGCATCATCTTCCAGCGCAAAAAAAGGTTCATAATCGCCATAATGGATATCATTCTTCACAGAGGTGAAAAGCTCTTTGAGAGTCAGATAGTGCCAACCTGAATTCACTGAGAAGCCACTCTGCAATGCAATAGTCTTCACAATCAGCCTCAGTTGCTCCTCTTGCAGGCTGCCACCATCTTGGACATTAGCAAGAGCAACAAGTTCCTTGAGTTCCTCGAGCATCACCTCCTTGTGCTGGTTTGCATGAATTCCATACTTCTTGCACAATGCCTGGATCTGGCGATACCTCAAATCACCAGCTAAGACCAGTTGCTTGTCTTCATCAGACAGCATCTTCTGCTCGTTCGAACTTCAAAATTTAATAACCGGGGCACTTCTTCTATCACCCTCAGGTTTCACCAGCACCATATAAGCGTCCTGCATCGGTTAGGAGTTTACTGCCAAACATAATAAAGATATTGCACCTACCTGGTTTAAATCCGACCGCAGTCTGGAGAAGACAGCCTGATCCATGGGCTTCCTGGACTTCGCCAAGGACACTTGGATCATATGGTTCGGCGTTATACTGTCGACGATGGGGAAGTTCTGGAACTTGTGTCCTTCCTCCACTCAGGGTCCGCCGACACTGTCAAACCAGAAAAATACTTGATCCGACGAGTTTGCAACACCAGATCAGATCCATCTTCCACGGCTTTGAACGTCCCCCCCCTGTGCAAGCCATTCATGGGCATAACGTTTAAAAAGATTCCCAGCAGCGACTTTCAATGCCGGGTCACTCTCAGCAGCCAAGACGAAGGTCTCAAACCCCTTGAGCTTCCTGTAAGCGGCCACCTCAACAATGCTTTGTGAAACCCACTGGGAGATGGGCCTGATTGATTGAATAGACAAAAAATCCACACTTGGCCATATTGTGAACACTGTATATGAATATTCTTCCTTGTCACCAGCACCTCTCAAGTCCTGCACCTGAAGCACCCCTTCCCCGACCATCCCTTGCACATTCTTTAATATCTCCTGATATCCGTTCTCCAGGGTGAAGAAGTACCACCTGGGTATAGGACCAAATAGTAGATTTCTCACACGAAACTCTGTTCGAGGATCTGAGAACCTGTTCTCCTCCAGATACGCGTACCGGTAGAAAAGATTTTCTAGTTCCTCAAAGGACCAAGGCGGCATGAAAAGCTGTTGGAAGCAGCTCGAGGTTATGTTCTTCCACGCATCCACCCAGTTGTCTCTATTGGGAGATGCAAAGATATACGTAATTCGCCCATAGTGACCAACAAAGCTCTGATCAGTCAGTAGGATCTCCCCTTGCAGCGACCTGTTAAACTCGTTAAGAATCTGGTATGTCCCGTCCGGATAGAAAGCATAATAATCCACAGTTTCCTGAATAACGAGCTCCACCTGGACGGTCTTCCCTTCCTTGAGTAGATTAACGAGCACGTAAACCAGAAAATGGGACTTGCCTATGCCGGGGTTGCCGGAGACGTGTACCACGCTAACGTGCCCTTGGGTAACCTTGCTCATCTCTGTGTAAAATGGTTTCCACACCTGCTGAACATAATAGAAATCCTTATGGAAGACCTCTGGGCAGAAGTGGAACATGTCACCCGCTTCTAAAGACGTCGGAAGCTCGTAGTTATACCTGGTTGCGTCTGCAAAGAGAAAAAAACTGCTCAAAGCCGGAAAATAAGATGTGAAAAAGAAAAAAACCAGCTAGATGCGCAGTAACAAAAGAAAAGAGCCATTACACACACAACGATCTCGTCATCATAAGTAAACGCAACACACAAAAGACGCAGGGACGCCAACTACAGATGAACCAGATCGACATAGCCAGCCACGACTCGCAGCAAAAGAAAAACCGATAAGAAAAAATAAGGGGATAGAAACGCCATAGCAAACATGACACAACGACATAGCTAGCCACGACACAACATCTCGTCAGCAAAACACAAAAGACGTAGGGGCGCCCAACTACAGATCCAAAGTGACCAACTACAACCGGGAAGACAAAAAAATCCAGCACTAACAAACAAATGCAATGCGAGGCCACGAACAAATGCCTCAGCACAATTCTGGGGCATGAGGAAGAAGGAAATTTGGGGCAAGCGGAAACAAATTGCTTACCAGATCCACCGGTTCCGTGGGGCACTGCAAGCGAATCAAATGTCTCAGATCCGCATAGCATGATATGGGAAAAGGCTTACGATTAGATTTAAGTAGGAGGAGCTTCTCCTCCCGCAGCTGCTGCTTCTCCTCCCGCAGCTGGTGCTTCTTCTTCCACAGATACTGCCTCTCTACCGGATCTTGCTCGCTCGCCAGTTGTTTCTCCACTCCCTCGATTTCAGCTTCCACAGCCTTGATGGAACGCTCAAGCCCCTGGAAAGGAGAGTCGTCAATCTCCATAGCCACGGAAGACGATGCCATCTACTGAAAGAACTAGCCCTATTGGAGGGTAACATCCGACGGCTGCCTTTGCGCCGGGCCACGTGGCAAGTTTAAGGGTGGTGGTAAATATTTCCAGCCATTGTTGTGATTTGCTTTGGTGGTCTTCTTGATTCAAGTGCTAGGTGGTAAAAAAATAATAATCTAGTCTAGTTTCTATGGTTGTCTAGTCTGTTGGCTGTAGCTACGAGATGCATAGTGGGAATAGTGCATAGTCCAAGTAATGCTGTTTTTAATTTGTCCCCTGTGAAAGCAGACTGGGCGCTCCAGCTTGCATGCATCGCTTTCACCCGCCTATAGCAAACTCGACTTCCCGCCTTTGATTTTCCATGAGCGATGCCGCGATCCAGCGGCCAGAGCGTGTCAACCTCTTCGCGAGCCAGCTGCGGCGATGTGGATCCATCGCCGAGGCAACGCTACTGCACCAGCAGATCGGCAGCAGCGGGTTTGGAGTGGATCGCAGCACGTTTCTGGGAAATCTCATCGTCCAGATGTATGGCAGGCTCGGCGATCTCGATCGCGCGCGGGACGCGTTCGATAGCATCCGCGACAAGAACATCTTCTCCTGGACGCTCCTCTTCACGGCATTCGCCCAGCTGGGGTATCTGGCGGAGGCGCGAGCGATCTTCGATGCAATGCCGGGCAAGGACGTGGTGGCCTGGACGGCGATGCTCGCGGCCTATTCCCAGCACGGCTTCGTCGACCTTGCCAAGGATCTCTTCGATAGAATCCCCGGTCGACGAGACACTGCTGCCTGGAATGCGATGATCGCGGGCTATGACCAGAATTGCCTCTTTCGCGAGGCGATATCCACCTATCGATCGATGCTTCAGGAGGGATCGAGACCAAATCAAACAACGATCGTGAGCGTGCTCGATGCGTGCGCTGGAATTGGCGACCTCGATCAGGGCATCGCTGTTCATGCCCTGTGTGTGATCGCGGGCGTGGACCGAGAATCCACCGTGGGAGCTGCGCTTGTCAATATGTACGGAAAGTGTGGCCAGTTAGTTCCAGCCAGGGCCATCTTGGACAAAATGTACGAAAAGGATCTTCTTGCCTTGACAGCAATGCTCACAGCATATGCCCATTCTGGGCATCCGCACGACGCACTAAAGCTCTTTGTTACGATGGATCTGGAAGGCATCCAGTCCGATCACGTGGCATTCGTTGGCGCCCTCCACGCGTGCACGAGCATATCAGCTGTTGCGACCGGGAAAATCATCCACGAAGGGCTGAGATTCACCGCTGCCGCTAATTCCCCCAGCGTTGCCAACTCTCTTGTGGCGTTCTACGGCAAATGCGGGTACCTGGAAGATGCCAGGGGCATATTTGATGGGATATCCCGCAAAAGCTGTCTGACATGGAATACCATGCTTGGGATATATTCCAATAACGGCTTCTTTCAGCTGACTTTGGAGCTTTACCTCGAGATGTCACTGGATGGAGTTTTACCCGATGAGATAACTTTTGTGATTTTGCTATCGGCGTGTAGCCACGGAGGGATGATTCGTGATGGATGTTACCACTTTGCGTCGATCAAGCAAGAATTCTGTCAAATCCCCGTGAAAGAACACTACATGTGTGTGCTCGATCTCTTGTCTCGCTCGGGGCAGCTCCAAGAGGCAGAAGATTTCTTTCTAGGCAGCGACATTGAGGTGGTGAGATCGTCATATCTGATGGATACGAAGAAGACGGCCTTGTGCTGGACAACTTTGCTTAGTGCTTCCAAAGTTCACGGGGATTCCGAGCGAGGAAAGAGAGCTGGGCACAATGCAGTGCTACTGGATAGATTTGCAAGCTGTGATGCTTCTGGGGTTTATATGCTACTCTCGGATATATATAATGCCAGAAATTGATTGATCAAAGTTTCTCTCAGTTCCCTGATTGCCTTGGAAGCCATCAAGTTTCTCCACCATGGACACGACCCATGGGCACTCTTGAAAAAGAGGCTGCTGTCATCCTTGGCCAGGGTAGCAGAATCTAGTTAACATCTCCATAGAAGTATGAAATAATTCACATATACAATCACATAAGCACCTCCCAAGTGGGTTTATAGAGCATCTATTGTGCAAAAGCAGGACTCCATCCTGTGTTTCTAAAGCAAATGGTCATTAGTTTTGCATTTGGTGTTATCCAATAAACTATAATAAAAGAGTAATTTCTATTTATTAATCCAATTAATCAAATGGAAGTTTATATTTGTGTGTCTTCTCAAGTTTAAAATGTAAATATAATGACAATTAAAAAAATTTTTAAAAAAATATATTTTCTAATTATAATAAATTTATATGAAAAATACGAAAAGCATATGAGGGTGAAGGTAAGTCACAAAGGTAGATTATTGATTTGAAAGTTTTATCAACTATGTGAAAGATGTAAAGTATTTCTTGTATGAGTGAGAGATTTTATATCATATCTATGTTTTGTTTAAAAAAATAATGTTTTCTTTCTTTAATCAACTTAGTATAATCTTAAGAAGAAAGCTCAATAATAAATCTAAGTACTTTTTGAAGAAAAATAATAATTTAGACCTTTAATATATTTTTAATTATCAATAAAATAATAAATTATACATTTAATTATTTAGTTCTAAATGAGTTTACTTATTTTTTATCTACATATTATAATACCACAAATAGAAAGCATATAAAACAAATATATAAATAACTTCAATCATTTTTTTATCTTAATTATTAAAAAGCACCAGAAGATCAATATCTAACTTTAAAAAACAATATTTTAAAATATTTTAATAGGATTTATACTTTATGTAATATTTCTTTTAGTTAAACATAATATAAAACTAAATCTAACGAGGTTATATATTTACAAATTGAATATTATTAATGTTTTAATATTTTTTCCATCCAAGTTTAATACTTTAAAATTATTTTTCCCCATAAAATTTTGGGATTTTAAATTTTTTAAATGACTCTTTGATGCTTTTTTTTTTTGTTTTGTTTGCATTTACAAGCACTATATATACCTTTTATATGTCAAATTTGCAAATTTATTTTATTAGTGTTAACAAGGTAAATCTCCTAAGTTTTTTTTCTTTGTCTTTTTCATTTCTTATTTATGAAGTGTTTCCTTAATCTAGATTGCAAACACAATACCATTATCAAGTGTTGTATGATTATATAATTCTGATTGTAAACCTTTATTGAAATTTAATTTTGTATAATTTTGAGTAGAGAAATACTTGGCTTTATACACATGTAAGGAACTGCATTGCAATCACCTTCAATCATCTCATTATAAACAAATGATACAAAAGAACTTCTATATGTTTAAAGAACACTTCATGATGCTATTAAACCTTCTTTATATGAGGAAAATTTTGGTAAATCTAAAACAAGAAGGCAATTTAAATTTCATTGAAGCTAAGTGATACTAAAGCTTCAGTTTATTTGCTATCTTGTAGTCATGGGTCACTTTGTGATGGAGCAAAAATTGGATGGAGTTATTATTTTTAAGTTCAGGCAAAGATTTGTTTATTAAGCTTAGAAGTTCCATACAAAGATGAAGTAGAAGAACACCAGTATACAAAATGCAATTGCCACTATGAGCAAGGACGATTTACTGTGTTCTTTAATCTCAATCATAACGTTTTCCTTAATAATATCTTGTAAAAACTCAACAAAGCTTACAGTGGAGGCATTGTCTAATAGGGCTGATGTTAAAATTAAAAGAAACAAGCTTATATATTTAATTACCGAGTGGAGGCAAGCAATGGCCATAAGGATGAACTATAATAATTGGTTTTACAAACTTTTTTGCCAGATCTTCTCCACTTGATTTAAATATGGTATCTAGCTCGCCTTAAAATTAAGTGATGGATTAACCAAGAACAAATGTATATGAATGTAGATTTCTTACCAATCAAATGAAAAGATGGACAATGTATGGGGTGATCATATACTTTACACAGTGGCTGGCATCGAATAATTCCTCCAGATATTATAATTACAAATTTTAGCTCGGTCGGAAGGATAGATTTCTGCAACAAAATATTAAAATGATTTCTCCATGATATTCACATACAAACCTTGGTTTGTTGCATTCCAGCCAACGCCCCAGCAACAAAACCTCCCTAGACAATTTATAAGAAAACTGTAAGAAATATTTAATATTCTTAACAATAAAAGAAATTTAGAGCTTGCCAAGGACATTCCCAGTAATCCATCAAAAGGACCGCATTTTTTCATGTATCGAGAGATGCATGAAATGCCTTGTTCGAATGACTTATAATCCACAATGGTCATTTCCTGGGATCACACAAAGAAACATTAGAAGGAAAGAGGAAAGCTAAAGGAACAATTTATAAAACACCTTGTTGCCTCTAAACCACTCGAGATATGGTGGCGCAAAGTTTCTCTTTTCGCCATCGATCACTGGAAACGGAGCGTCCAAGAAACTCTGGAAAGACGGAGCTTTCAAGAGATTTGAAGAAAAGTACTATAGAAGAAATGAAACAAAGCAAAAGGAGAGAAAGCTCTTGCCAGATCGAGAAGATTTAGCACCGAATCGTCCCATTTGACAGCGCTCAATTGAGCTTGGAGCTGGCGAGAATTGTCACCATGGCCGTGGAGGCAAAGCACACGAAGGCGTCGCATCTCCATGACTTCGTTCCTCTACAAAGCACTACAGAGAAAGAACACGCAGCGCTTGCAAGTGTTCTTATTTCAAGCACACATTGTTACAAATGTTGGTGGATCACATGAAAATGTCATGGGCAGGGTATGGGCACGATAAGGACCATCTGCCAAGACATTGAAATCTTTTAAAGAACATACAAAGTACGAGTGCTTTTTTGACTACTTGGAACATCCTGATGTTCCTGCATTAAAACCTCTTTACACGGCAAGCGATTTTGGATTTGATTGTGAAAGCAGCGCATAAATCAGAGAATTGTGCTTTGGTCGGTCCCGGGTTCGAAACGCGTAGGGCCGTTTTGTCAACACCAAACTTCGTGTGGTGGGCACAAAGCATGGAGCGCATCGCCACTTGTTTCCGAGGGGGCATGCAGCAACAGTCTGAAGCTGCAGGAAACAGGTGCGGGTGCGGGTGCGGGTGCGGTTGCTGATACAGGTGCAGGTCCAGGTGCAGGTTCAGGAGCGGATGCAGAACCAGAGCACCCGCTACATTTTCTGAGGATGGACACTATGATGGCCATGTCTGGAGGAACTCTTCCGCAAGAATTTCAGCGGCCATTGGGTCCAAGATCTTCAGTGCTAGGTTGTTCTCACAGCAAGGTAACTTTTCTTCCACATTGTTTTCTTTTCTCGATCGCTCCCTACAGGCAAAGATTTTGCAATCTAGCACGTTGCGGACGAGGGTATGTTATCGGATCCAGATGACGATTGCCACTCAAGATGAAGTTATTCTTTCCAGGCCAAAGATTAGCCCAATTCTGGTAAAAGACATTCGGAAAGGTTTTTAAATTTGTTTTTCCTTGTCACGTGATTAAATGTGGGATTGCAGGCCTATGATCTGGTGCAAGGCCCTTTGGTAAGCGAGGATAATTTTCGTTCAGTGGTTTTTACACGAGAATTTGCTTTCTTTTTCTTTTTTTGTTTTACATCTATCGCATTTCAGGTCCGGTGGAGTGAAGCTAGAGACAAAGCTACACCCGAGCCTCCGACTGCGGTATTCCTCCATGGAATTCTCGGCTGCAGGAAAAACTGGGGTATAACATTTTATCACCTTTGCGAAACAAAATTTGTAATTTTCCTTTTCAGCCTCCTTTGCAAGAAGACTGGCCAAAGAATTTCCGGCATGGCAGGTAAAAGAAAAACTAAAATAAAAAATAAAAAACAAGCTTTTCTTTGCCAGTTTTTGCTCGTAGATTTACGTTGCCATGGGGATTCATCGCTTATGCCAGGCTCTCACACTGTTTCGTCCTCTGCCCTTGACGTACTTAAGCTTGTAAGTGTCTACTTATGTTCCTCTTGTTAATGTTCTATGGAGCTTCTCAGAAAACAAAATTTTGTTTGTAACAGCTAGGGAAGTTACGACTGACTCCACGAATCTTGGTAGGACACAGTTTTGGAGGAAAAGGTTGACACTCTGTCGTTTAAGTTTCAACCAGAATGGTGACACCATTTTCTCCTGTGCAGTTGTTTTGAGCATGATCGATCAAGCTGCCAAACCTTTGGCTCGTCCAGTCCAAGTAATGTTGTTCTTAGTTTTTTGTTCTTGCTTTTGTTTTAAGTTCTTTCTCCTTTTCCTTTTTCCAGGCATGGATCCTGGATGCAACACCGGGAGAAGTACGAGCACGCGGAGGTGGTGAAGATCATCCAGCGGAACTCATTGAAGCCTTGCGAAGATTGCCTGCTCAGGTACGCTTAAAATCAGAGCCACTTACAAGCAAAGTTTACGTTCCAGGTACCTTCGCGACGAGTTGTGTTGAACTCCTTGACAGACTTTGGCTTCTCAGAGGAAATCGCGAAGGTTAGATAGTACTCAGTCATAAGTTCTAACAATTTCTGAAAGCTTTTTTTGTTTATTTTTAACAGTGGATGACAACAAACCTCAAACCAGCTCGAGATAGCTCGGATTTATTCTGGACATTCGATTTAAATGGCATTTCCGACATGTACAGATCATACGAAGATACAAACTTGTGGTACGCTTTCACTGCAAAAAAGCAGCAAATCTATTCACAAACGTATGTTGCAGGAACCTGGTAGACAACGTACCAGAGGGAGTCCATCTCAATTTCTTGCGAGCCGAGCGCAGCTTGCATCGCTGGGCTCACGAAGACATCCAAAGAATCGACGACGCCGAGGCTTCCGCTTCAAACGAAGGCGCTGGTGTCGATCTTCACGTTCTTGAAGACTCGGGTCACTGGGTAAGTCTGAAAACTTTCACAATCTCCAAACCTTTCACTCGCTCTGTTACATACTCTGACAGGTTCA